GGGCGGGAGGGTAGCTCCGAAAAGTCTGTCCGTGGGGTGCAGGCGCCTCTGGTCTGAACGGGACCCCGGCGTCCCGATCCCTCTGGGGTCCCTCTCCCGCCGCGCGCATCTGGGGAATGAGTTCTGCGCTGGGTCCTGCACCCCTCTCCCTCCCATCCCTCCCCGGCCTATGACACCAGCTTAGGCTCTTTCTCGATTGACTTTTTAGAGCAAAGATTTCCACGAAAGAAACCTGGCGGAGGGGGTGGCGGCTGCTTCCCAGCCTCCTTCCGTCGTCCCGGTTCCCTTCCCAGCCAGAGACTCAGGAAGCCCTCGCTTTGCTGGCAACCCGACCCCAACCCTCCTCGATGGGGGTCTGAGGTCCCCGCAGCCGCAGGAGCGTTAGCGACCCCTCCCCACCCCAGCGACTTCCTGCGCGGACCACGTGCTTGGAGCTCCACGCACGCCCTGTGGGCTGGAGGGTCGGGCCCTCGGCGGCCCTTTCCTTTCCCTTTCCTGTCCTGGGTCCAGCCTGCCAGCCGCTTCCCCTTCCCTGTCCTCCTGACCCCAGTGGCAACCGTTTCCCCTACGCCCCTTGCCCGAGTCGGGGCTGGCTCACAATCTCCCCGATTGTGTCCAGAACAATACAGTACGCCTCTGGCTGGGTGCGTTCAGAGGCTGCCCGCTTCCTGACAGAACAGGACCGGTCAGCCTCTGACGTTGGCCGCCTGGCCTGCATTTTCTCCAGCTGGGGTGTGTGCGATATATATATACATACATACATACATACATATATATGTATATGTATATATGTGTGTGTATATATATGTATATGTGTGTGTGTGTGTGTGTGTGTGTACACGCGCGCATCGGGGAGGTGGAGGCGGTATGTCTGTTCTCTCCCACCTCCCAGCAGCTCAGAGATGTGGCCATGGCCTGAGAAGGCAGCTGTGGCTGCTCATTCCAGGTCCTGCTGCGTGTCCACTAGTGTCGAAGGGTCCAGACAGGCCTGACATTCCCCAGCCCACTCAGTTCTGGAGGAGGAAAATGCTTGCTGTGCGGAGGAGCTGGGCTGCTGGCATGTCCCCGCTGGGCCAGGACCATTCAGTCCCGAGAGGGGGACCTGTGTATACACTGGATCCTGTGGCTGTGCCCACACACCTGGAAGGATGCTGTCTGTTTGTTGGGCTTAGGGAATCCTAAGGTACTGAAGGCAGAGAGAAGGGGGCAAACATGAAAAGGTGGCTTAGCGGTACACATCTTAGAATGATTTGGCAACTAATCCTTTCCAGCCATGGCTAATTCCCACCGACGCCACTCCAAGGTGAGAGCGGGGCCAACTCTGGGTGAGAATATATTGTGACAGGGTGGCAGCAGGCATAACTGCCAGCTCATCTTCCCACACCACCCCCACAGGAAGAGCCCCCTTTCATCCTAGGCCACTGACCTGGCTGGTTTAAGATACCTTCCAAAGGAACAGCCCCCTGAGCCTGGCTGGACATCCCCACAGGGAGGGCAGACAGGCCAGGCCAGCGAAGACCCTGGGTGCCCCTGGCCCATCTGCCTGGAGTGGGACTGAACCACAGTGCCCTATTTCTTAGGTTCTTCCTCCCACCCCCCTCTACCCCCACATAATCCTGGTCCTGATTGCTGCCCACCTCCCACCCACTCCCCACTCTCCACCCCACCATGCTGGCTCCTAAAGGAAAAAGAAGCCACGTTCTTCAGCAGAAGCGGGGCAAGATTCTCTCCCCTGGGCTCAGTCCCTCCGGCACAGCCATCCCTACCCCAGCGTACATCTTGAGGGAAGAAGGAAGAGAGGCCTGGAAAGGGGCTGCCGCCTCAGCCTGGCAGCAAGGCAAGCGGCTCAGAGCCTGAGAGCCTCCTCCACACCCTCCCAAACTCCTCCCCCCTGCTCTTTTTCATTTTCCACACAAATTTCCCCTTTCACCTTTTTGCCTGTCACCTGGTGCAAAAACAGGCCAATAG